ATGCCACTCGGTAGCCAGGTGGAACATTATTACCTCTATTCATGTTTTATGCCTGTGAAGTGCACAGGATATCTGATCAAATTGGTAGACACTACCAATGGTTAGTTGAATCAGTCCTACTTATTACAATGTACTGTAATAAGAATTCTAGAATTCATTTAAATCTAATTTAATTTGAATCAATAGACCGAACTACTCTAAACACATCAGACTTGAATTCAGGGTACCCCCCCATGGCTTCATACTAACTAATGAAGGCTATTCTGTATGTATCTTCAGGCTCATTCACCATAAAATACCTGCCTACCCAACCCAAATGCTGAGATCTTTACAAACCTATCTGGCAGCCTACAATCATCTCTAGATGCCTTCTCAGCCTTGTAGAAAACTTTCTGGGCACACCCGTAGGAGGTGCAGGGGATCATTCCATGAGCAGAACCACCCCACTGGCTGATGTTCCTACAGCTGTATGCCATTAAGTCAGGTAATCCCACTGCTCACCTTTCCTTTCCAAGAGAACCTTTCCCTGGGTTCTTTTCTTCCTCTTCTTGGCTTTATCTCACCATGTTCCCACAGTATACAGCACTCTCTGCTAATCCATGTCAGGGAACCCAACCAACCTGGCGTCTAGCAACTGTAAATAGTCTCCAAGCAATGGGACAATGTGTGTGTGTGTGATATGCCGCCAAACTGCATCCATCTTAAATATTGAGATATTTATCAGCCCCCACTCCCAAGTTTCCATGGCTGAGGGGTCATTTGAACCTAGGAATCTGGAGTCCTAGTTTGTCAGTCTTATCCACTACACCACACTACACTTGCTCTCAGTGGGATGTTATGAGTATATGTAAACATTAAACTTTTTGTCCTTTACTTCCAAATACCAACATTTTTCTCTGTGTAATGTGCAAATATAAGACTAGTTTAATTTCCTTCCATCCTGATATCCTAAAAATTGCTATACAAAGAAGGTAGAAAGATGCCAAATGAACACCTATTCTTTTCATGTGTTTTACCCACCGAATATGCATATTTACTAAATTGAAAACTGAATCCACACTCATTTACCTTTCTAAGCTCTTATTTTCACTTGAAGGTGGTTCATTTTTAATCAGAACATTTTGCATACTACATCAAACCTCTGTAAAAAGAGCCACTTTTCATGTTCATAATGGAACATCAAAGCCTCTGCAATGAATTTATTTCTAGGGACACTAACAAAAAGTCCCCCTTTTTTCTACTCTGAAAGGTGTGAAATAGAATTGTCTTCATTTTAGAGACAGAGACACGTCTTACAAAGAGAGAAAAATTGCATTGCTTCCCAAGTTCACCGGGGAGAAATGCACGGGAATGAAGAATTGTTTCCATCAGTAAGCACTTCCAAATTAAGCTGAATAGTACAGGTATGAAATCATAAGCAGCAGGTCCTCTGGGAGTGGACTCTGCTTCCTGGCTCCCCATGTAGAGTGATACGTAACCCTCACCGAGCACACTAGCCAATAGGTTAGAGGTCTTTAAAAGGACTTTGGTTGCGGCAGCAAGAATATTCTGGGAAGGCACTTGCGGCAGAGCAGCAGGTTTTAGAGACAGAATTTATTATTTAGTTCTGAATGGCAACAAAAAAGGATTTCTTCCCTTCTTGGCACCTTCACTTTCCGGGAATACTGTAGGACTAGCTGATGATGAGCTGGCCACAGCACATTGTGTTTCCCTCTGCAGCTACTCAACTTTGTGCGTTGGCTTCTCTCCCAATCCATGTATAAAGCTGCCAGACAATCTCAACTCTATCCAGGCACAAATCTGCCACACAATCTCACAGTGCCACCAAAGTTCAACTCTGGGAGTAAAGCAGGGGAAAGGAGGTGAAGGAGAAATAGACAATAGTGTGAAGGCAGCTGCTGCTGGATGGAAGGAAACAAAAGCTTTTCGGAAGAGAAGAATGGACTGTGTTTCCTAACCTTCTACAGGTTTGTTTTGAAAACAGATACAGTGGTGCCTCGCTTAACGAGGATAATCCGTTAAAGTGAAATCACTGTAGAATGAAATCCTCATTAAGCGAAATAAAAAAGCCCATTGAAACACATTGAAAACCCTTCAATGCATTCCAATGGGCTGAAAACTCACAGTCCAGCGAAGATCCTCCATAGGGGCGGCCATTTTCACTGCCTGTAAAGCGAGGAATCCATCCTAGAAAACAGCGGGGGACCATTTTGTTCTCCCGGTGGCCATTCTGAAACCCGACGATCAGCTGTTTTTAGATCGTTGTAATGCGAAAATCGGTTCCCGATGCAGGGAACTGATCATTGTGAAGTAGATTTTTCCCATTTAAACCATTGTTTTGCAATCGCAAAAACCTAATCGTCAAGTGATTTCCTTGTTAAGCGAGGCAATCGTTAAGCGAGGCACCACTGTACTTGCTGTATTGTGCTAGGGCATAAGAAATACAGGAAAAGTCCTTACTTCCACACCAAGAAGATGACCTATGGAGGACTCAGGAAAGTGCAGAACAATATCATCTGTCCTGTTCAGTCCTCTTCCTTAATTCTATATGACTTAATTCTATACTAGTATCAGGCTGCCATGTACTAGGTAGACATGGAAAGACACTCTGCATGTATTGAGAAGCAGTTTCACTATATTCTTGATATTTCACTATATTTGGGCATTTAACTGGATATACCTTGTGAGAATTGAATTCAGGGGAGGGTGTCAGAGAAGGCAAATGCATCCATCTTGCATATGGCTGACAGTTCGCACCACTTTTGAACACCCATAAACAACATTAGCCTACTAATATAGTAAGCAGTTGGGGTGCCCACATGTCCTGCTTTATAGTAGATAGTCCTCTGAAGGCAATCTCTATTTGAAGAGCTATATGCCCAGTTTAAAGATGATGCATCTTGATAATGGAGAGCAGGGACTCTGACATTGTTTAGAAATAGCTAATACTGTGCTATAAATTCAGAAGGTACAAAGGTGACCTGCACACTGTATACCCATTGCAGAGGCAGGTATTATGCTTCCATTTAAATTATAGTATTTTGACCATCAGTAAGAAAGTGAAAATTTTACACAAATCCGTGTTCCCTTTTGTACTCCCTAAGTGACCACCCTATTCTCATTTTTTGCAAGGAGTCAGCATCTTGTCACAAGTGGTGACTGTCAAGCTTGGATAATGCTTGATGAACCACACTGGTGCAAACATGTTGCATTTAATTTTTCTAGTTATGTTCATGCAACCTCATCCTTGGTTACAATACTGTACAAAACTGATCCACAAATAACTGAGCTCAGCATATTTTTCCATCACTGATACAAAAATTCATTTATATGGTAGAAGCACAGTACAGAAACGGAACTTTTGCAGTTAGCATACTATGAATCCGCAGAACATTATCCTTTTTTTAAAAAAACCACACAAATCCTGACCAGGCCTTAGCACAGTACAGAAACTGAACTTTTGCAGTTAGCATATTATGAATCCTCAGAACACCATCCTTAAAAAAAAAAAAAAAAAAAAAAAACCACACAAATCCTGACCAGGCCTAACAGAATGTAATGATAACACATACATGTTTCAGTCTACATCTGATTACTATTCCACTGACATGACTTCTTGGCAACATTTAAAGTTCATTACCAGCAATATTTATTCTGGAGTCAGGGATATTGATATTGTAATAAGTTCTTAGTTTTATATATCCCTGAACTATAATTAAGTTTGAAGAGGGGGTGAAATGCAGCCAGTGGTCAATAGATCAAAAGTGTTTATTGCAAAGAAGTATCTTTTATGACTATTCAAATATGAATTTGAACAGGCTGCACACAGTAAAGCTACGAATAGTTTGATCAGCTCTTACCTGGACACAGATTCAAGGTGATCATGGCTTCCATACTTTCCCCCACAATATTGTATCAAAGCCTCTATTTTGTTTTTAAGGATTATAATTTAATTATGGGTCAAATCTGGTTGTAAAGCCAATAATTATCATAATGGCATTTAATACTACGATGTATGAAGTTTCTGAATAACTGGACTGTCACAATGGCTGATATCCTGTTATATAGTTATGCCTGCAGGAAACAAATGGCATAATTTGCAATAGTTTCTCATTGGCCATTAGCAAAACCCTGTTTGAGTTTTTGAGTGTTTTTGAGTGCTGGCTTGGTGCATGCCAGAAAATCCAAGCAGCGATTAGTTAACTGCCACTGAAAAACCACTGCAAGTTACACCATTTGTCTTCTTCAGGTGTAACTGTGCCTCTAAGTTTTAAGCCAGTTTAATTTAGTGTAAAGTTATTCATGTATCTTCAGCAGTATGCTCCAATATATTCAAGATAAGTACTGTATGTGAATAGTACAGCCCCAGTTTATCGATCATCAGGTCAGTTTACATATTTAAAGAGAATAGTTTAGAAGAACAAAAGCACAAATATACACACAGGCAGACAGGCTGGCACATGCAGTGGCCATATGAATGCATATGCACAAACTTCCTAATGTGGATGCACACAAGCACTTCACATGCACACAAATGCATGCACATATAAGTTCCTAGCATCTACCAATGCATGTGCATGTGAAAGGTGGAGCAATGGAAGGAAGATTCCTTCACAATAACCTTCTGTCCTCTACAGCCCCTACATTACCTTCCCACTGTCTACTTGCACTGCTGCCTTCTCTCTCTACAATCTACATACCTGATTGTGCTCCCCTCTCCTTGGCATGGATACTTACAAAATCAAGATGTCTGATAACTCTGGAAAGCAGCTTTTCAAACATAGCATCCTAAATAGTGCTTTCCTCCTTTCTCAATTGGCTGCTGTATTACTTTTAATCAGGATTCTCTAGTTTTCATAGTGTGTTCACTCCATATGACTATTCTCACCAGTCGTCAAGTATATCTTTCAACCTCATAGCTATCTAAAATCAAGTATGATACAGATAATCACCCACTCATGACATAAATTGTTGGTGAATGGGTGTATCATTACTACTACCTGATAGGCCTTTATTATGGCAACAGGTTCTTCTCCGTGTGGCTGTGGGGATCCTTGACTTTGCAGTAGATTCCTCACTGTCTCTTCCATTCTGGAAAATAAAGAAAGGCAATAATAAGTAAAGGACAACATGTAATTACAAATTTTCATTCTATGGAGGATTCTCTCATTTGACAGAGATAATTCAAATATTGATTCTCACTTAACAGACTGAGTCACGTCTATGCATATACATACATAAATGTATACAAAACTTCAAGACAAAGAAAAACCGCATTTTAATTAATTTGTTCTTGCTAATATTTTATATAACAGACTAGTGTAGACCTTGAAAATAGGCCTTTAAGAAAACTGAGAATTAAAAATATGCTTTCTGGACATAGATAGGTCAAGGCCTGACAATGTGCTCCAGTAACCAACCGTAGCAGATTTGGAACTTCTTCCAGTTCTTCCCCTCTCCCTCTGATTGTCCTTCCATGGAGCTAAATGTGTTCCACAAGGTTTCCTAGTCTAGTGAAGGAGTTTTTAATGCACCTGTTGGGTCTTCGTATTCTTAGGGATCGGAGATCCTACTCTAGAGGGATACTGGGAATACTGTAAAGCTACACTGGATACTTGGCAAATTAGTCAAATATGATATTTGGCTCTGGAATAGTTTGTTGTGTACCTGAAGCAAGTAATGATTCTGGACCATAGTGAATGTTTGTGCCGTTGAATGAAGAGCCACTGATTTTAAGATAATGACATCAGTTCCTGGTAAATTGGTATTTATAGAATATCTTGGTCACTTCAAGTGAATTTTTGTGGTATATCATAAGGCTATTAGTGGTCAATGCCCATGAATCTCATTCACATTCCAAAGACCAACAATGAAATACATTAAACTATGGTATATATTATTGTTTGTCACTATTGTACCTTGTCGAGTCAGATTGTCTCGTCTACTCAGATTATATCTCACCTAGTCAGACTTGTGACAAATATTCTAGGCAGACATCCAGGAACAGCCTAGTTATTTTTAGCATAATTATTATTTATTCGATATGCATGCTTCTCATTTGCCAAAATGTACCTCATTTTCAGCACAGTATTTCCATTTTATCCTCACATAACAAGTCTCTAAGATAACAGCCTCAGGGAATATGACTGTATAAAACTAACAAACTGTAGCCCAACAAATGTTGATAGACAGGAAATCGCATGAGTCCTCAGCACTGGGAGTGCTGGTTGATGCTGATGGAAATGGCAATCCGACAAAACCTGGAGGGCCACAGTTGCTCACCTCTGCTACAAAGACGCATTAGCATTTGTGAGCTAAGAAAGGTTTTGACCCCGAACTTTATATACATATCAGACACTCTAATAACTTTGGCTCTCTTTAGTGTCTCTTTAAAAAAATTAAAGATTTTTCTAGAGCTAAAAATATGAGAATTGTCTTTCTGGATCAGACCATGGTCTACCTACTCAAGCATTCTGATTTAGGGACAGATGCATTTGGGTGCTCACAGGCAGACCATCAAGAAAGATCACAAAGAGCCTTCCATTCTTCTTCCTTAGCATATGGCATTCTTTGGGTTTATACTCTTTAGTTTAGTCTATTAAACCAGTCAGAATTCATTATAGTTACTTCTTTGATGTTAACATTCCAGTTTGTTTAGTCTTTTATATCAAAAATAAGCATTCCTCCAGATTCCCAAGGAAGAGTCATCACAAGAGATTCACTCCAGTCAGATGTCCAGACAGTTCAGTTATTTTTAGTACAATTGTTATTAATTTGATATGCATGCTTCTTATGAGCCAGAATGTAGCTAGTATAGACATTCCATCTGTTGACCAAATGTGAACAAAAATAAACTAAATATAATCCTCAGTTCAGTGCATAGTTTCTCAGTCGTAGTTTGGAAACATTTGTGCTTAATATGCTGACTTTAATCAAAAACTTATTTTTATCCCAAATCTCTCTCTTCATTCTACACCTTCCAAAAAGGGAAAAAACACCACCAATTTAAATGGGCTTAAATAACAATTATGCACTATAAAGTCAATTCTGACTTGCAGCAACATTTCCCCAGTCTTCTAAGTACCCAGAAGGGGTTTACTGGCCCATTATTGTGGGGCACACTGAAACTGGACAACACAGTACTGTATGCCCAAGGCCACCCAGGTAGCCGCAGCCACATGTGCTCCCAGGAGACACACTGGAGATCCAAACCCTTGGCCCTTCACTCCACAGCCTATCGTAACTGCTGGCTGATTTTCCATTAGCACATTGTAAAGGTCTGGAAGGAAATCAAGAAAGAGGCCAATTCACAAAATGGGGCAAACCACAGAAAATCACACTATTAAGTACAGTGGTGCCTAGACTTACGAACTTAATTGGTTCTGGAACTCTGGTCATAACTCGAAATGGTCGTAAGTCGAAGCACCATTTCCCATAGGAATGTATTGAAATGCAATTAATCCGTTCAGGTCGAAGAAAAAAATCACCAAAAAACCCAAAAAACAAACAACACCCCACTGCAAGACCCATCAGAAACGTGATTAATCTATTCCAGCTGAAGGGGGGGTGGGAATAAAAGAAAAGGTGACACACCGTGCAAGACCCTTCAGAAATGCATAAAAAGCAAAGCAGAAAGCAAACAAACCATGCAAGACCCATCGGAAACACAATTAATCCTTTCTGGCTGAAGGGGGAAATAAAAGAAAAGCAAACAAACCGTGCAAGACCCATAGGAAATGCAAAAAAAAGGGAAAGCAAAAAGCAAACAAACCGTGCAAGACCCTTCGGAAATGCAAAAAAAGCAAAGCAGAAAGCAAACAAACCGTGGAAGACCCTTCAGAAATGCAAAAAAAGTGAAGCAAAAAGCAAACAAGCCCTGCAAGACCCATCGGAAATGGGGGGAAAGCACCAAAAAACAAACAAACCTTGCAAGACCCATCGGAAATGGGGGGGAACCAAAAAAGCAAACAAAGCCTGCAAGACCCATCAGAAATGGGGAAATACCCCAAAAACAAACAAACCCTGCCAAGACCATCACAGCATAGAAACATAATGCCACCACCCAGCCCAAAACCACGCTGCAAAACCCACCCAGAACAGTTTTTAAAAAGTAGAAAGCAGCACCTTACCAGGCAGTCTGAAGCCTCCTCTGATGGCACACTCTCTAACTGCTGGGGCGAAAGAGCTACAAAGAAGCAGCCTCTTCGCCTACCAACGGTTAGCGATTTGAATTATCCGCCTTTTTCCCCCTGCCTTTTTCTGGTTGCAACTCAAAGCTCCAGTTGCAAGTAGAAGCAAAATTTTGCAGCTGGAGCTGGTCGTAACTTGAAATGGTCATATGCTCGGACATTCATAAGTCGAGGCACCACTGTACAGGGATAGGCCATCATCTAGTTGACTTAAATGATAGTAAGAGGCTAACTGCTATGATCCATGTACAAAAAAATAAAATAAAATTGAATACCCATTTTCCAAGCTAGGAAAAAAATATCTTTATGAAGCTCTGAATCAGTGCTGACAATCTGCATTGGCAAGACTGGACAAAATGGACCAGTCTTGTCAATGCAGATTGTCAGCACTGATTCAGAGCTTCGTAAAGATTTTTTTTCCTAGCTTGGAAAATGGGCATTCAATTTTTTTGATATTTTTGTACATGGATCATAGCAGTTAGCCTCTTACTAATGGTCTGAAGGTAGATAGCTTCCTACATCCCTTTGCTTGTTAATTCTAAGAACTTTCCATCACGTGCCATTTGCAAGGATTACACGTTTTTCAAAAAAAGTCAAACCCTGTAGATATCTATGTTCTTTAATCAATTCATAGGCTGCTACCTCAGATAGCTGGATAGCTCAGTGTTTGAGTTATCTGACTGTAGAGCTTAGAGGCTGAGAGTTCAATTCCCCACTATGCCTCCTGTGAGTACAGCCAGCCTCTATGGTCTTGAGCAAGTTGCACAGTCCCAGAGTAAACACTTCTAAGTATTCTCTACCTGTAACCATAAATCAGAATTGACTTGATGGCATATTATTATTATTTTATTAATCTGATATTAGACTGTTGCTCATACAGCTCGAATACCCCACATTTGCCCCAAAACAATGCACATGCTTACTGTATATTATTACGCGTGCTTTTAAGAGGAGGGCAATAGTTTCCCAGGCAGACAACCTTGCAGTTCAAAAGACAACAGAATGGCATAATGGGAAACACTGGATGCTTTTTCTTCTGACCCACTCTTGTCTACTCTGAATGACAGAGGCTTTTTCAGGCAGATTTATTTCACATCTACTTACACATGCTACCTTGCTCTTCTTTTTTTAAAAAAAAAAATCAGAGAAGGTACGTGTTGAAACTGGGAGGTTTTGAATTCAAACATGTGCTGTTCCATTAAACTATGATGCTCTTCCCTTATTATGTTCCGTCAAGCCATTTCCTGGGCAATGCTGAGATAAAATAAAACATGGCCATCCAAGGTTTTTGTCCACAATGCAGTAATTTCACTAATTTAACAACAGAAACCTTCTGACACAATAGTAGTGGACTGAAGCAAGTACTTTGTAAAGGAAAATATATCAAAACATAATAGCAGTAGAGTAGTAATAGTATATAATGTAGAATAATGGTAAGTGGGGCGATGAGCAAAAAAGCAGCATAGAAGGCATCAGCAGACCATTCAGCCTAAAGGTCTGAACTAAATAACTAAAATATGAACAGAACATGGACTTTTTAAAAACACCAAATTCTAATGTGCTTTGCATCTGTTCAAGGAGGGAAAATCATAAAAAGTGGCAAAATCCATAGGAAGCATTCACAGCAAGGAGACTGAAATATATCATGGCAGAGTGGTATGAAATATGTACTGTGAATAATAAATGTAGGTAAAGTTTACCAATGTCTTGATTATCTCTGAAACAGGCAAGGTTTTGAAAAAGTCAGACACTCAGCATTTCATAACCAGCCTTAGAGCGCTAAGCATACTCCTTCTGGAGGTGGAGAGATCTTTTTCTCTTTTGACTTCTCATGCAAAAGGATTTGCGTTTTAGTATTAAGGGTAAATTCTCCTTTAGTGACATTCAAACAACCAAAGGCAA